GAGAGCATTTGTGCAAACTTGCTCAACACATACCAAATGGTATATGACGAATGAAGCACCAAAACCCATTAGCCAAATCATCAATGTAAATATCACCAAAGTAGCCCCTCTATGAGGGACTGCACAAAGAACTCTTTCCTGCAGAAACTCGTTATGCAGTTAACTAAGTGTTAAGAAGTGATTATTTGTGGAACTTGTGCTTTGGTAACTCAGATATGGAATTTCTAATAATTTGAAAATGTGGCCTATCTGAGGGACAAGAGACCTAACTGCCAGCAGCCTGCAGGAATCTGAAAAGCAGGCAACTGGGCTGAAGTGTTTGCGACCATTTTCAAATCACCTTGAAGACATCTCGGTGAGCTATAAACAGGACCTGAACATTACTATAAAGCTAGCTGGGCAGCAACTCAAAGATAACAACTTTATTTCAGAACATTAAACAGAACGTTGAGCCCTTTTTCCCCCTGCCAAAAGTTTTATGAGAAAATGTCAACTAAGCCAAGATGCCTTGCCAAGCACGGCCTCAACTTTTAAAGGAGATGTCTTATTAGCAATCTCATATTATTTTAATGAAACTGTCTTAGTCACGCCAGTGAAATTTATTGAGACTTCATGTTTCAAAGCTACTGACGTAAATTTGAGCAAAAGTCCAAAGAACTGCATGCCAAGTTTTAGACAAGATATACACGCAACTAAAAGAATGACGGTTAAGGTCATGGAAAGTTTACCCATAATTCTGAAATGTAAGAAATCAAGAATGATGGAACTCTCTCCCACAGCCAAGTAGTCAAGCTTTCTCTCTTATCATTTCTACTTCATTTAGATGCACTGCTTTTTTTTTTTAAAGGGTCGTTGTTAGGTGCCGTCAAATCGATTCCAGCTCATAGCGACCCTGCGTACAACAAAATGAAATGCTGCCCGGTCCTGCGCCTTTCTCACAATGGTTGCTATGTTTGAGCTCACTGTTTCAGCTACTGTGTCAATCCGTCTCTGAGAGGGTATTCATCTTTTTCACTGACCCTCTATTTTACCAAGCATGATGTCCTTTTCCAGGGACTGGTCCCTCCTGATAACATGTGCAAAGTACGTGAGACGAAGTCTCGTCATCCTTGCCTCTACGTAGCATTTCGGCTGTACTTCTTCCAAGATAGATTTGTTCATTCTTCTGGCAGTCAACAGTATATTCAATATTCTTCACCAACACCATAATTCAAAGGCATCGATAATTCTTTGGTATTCCTTATTCACTGTCCAGCTTTCACATGCATATGAGGCAAATGGAAACATCATGGCTTTGGTCAGGCGCACCTTAGTCCTTGAAGCAACATCTTTGCTTTTTAACACTTTAAAGAGATCTCTTGCAGCAGACTTGCCCAATGCAGCGCGTCATTTGATTTCTTGACTGCTGCTTCCATGGGCATTGATTATGGATCCAAGCAATGAAATCCTTGACAATTTCAATCTTTTCTCCATTTATCATGATGTTGCTTATTGGTCCAGTTGTGAGGATTTTTGTTTTCTTTATGTTGTGGTGTAACCGATACTGAAGGCGATGCTCTTTGATCTTCATCAATAAGTACTTCAAGTACTCTTCACTTACAGTAAGCAAGGTTGTGTCATCTGCATATCGTAGGTTGTTAATGAGTCTTCCTCCAATCCTGATGTCCCATTTTTCTTCATATAGTCCAGCTTCTCAGACTATCTGCTCAGCATACAGACTGAACAAGTATGGTGAAAGGATACAACCCTGATACGCACCTTTCTTGACTTTAAACCACACAGTATCCCCTTATTCTGTCTGAATGACTTCTTCTTGGTCTAAGTACAGGTTTCTCATGAGCACAATTAAGTGTTCTAGAATCCCCATTCTTCGCAATGTAATCCATAATTTGTTATGATCCACACGGTCGAATGCCTTTGCATAGTCAATAAAACACAGGTAAACATCTTTCTGATATTCTCTGCTTTCAGCCAAGATCCATCTGACATCAGCAATGATATCCCTCATTCCATGTCCTCTTCTGAATCTGGCTTGAATTTCTGGCAGTCCCTTGTCCATGTACTGTTGTAACCACTTCTGAATGATCTTCAGCAAAATTTTACTTGTGTGTGGTATTAATGATATTGTTCAATAATTTCCACATTCTGTTGGATATTCTTTCTTTGGAATGGGTACAAATATGGATCTCTTCCAGTCGGTTGGCCAGGTAGCTGTCTTCCAAATTTCCTGGCATAGACGAGTGAGTGCTTCCAGCGCTGCATCCATTTGCGGAAACATCTCAATTGATATTCTGTCAATTCCTGGAGCCTTGTTTTTTGTCAATGCCTTCAGTGCAGCCTGGACTTCTTCCTTTAGTACCGTCGGTTCTTGATCATATGCTACCTCCTGAAATGGCTGAACGTTGACCAATTCTTTTTGGTATAGTTACTCTGTGTATTCCTTCCATCTTCTTTTGATGCTTCCTGTGTCGTTTAACATTTTCCCCATAGAATCCTTCAATATTGCAACTCGAGGCTTGAATTTTTTCTTCAGTTCTTCCAGCCTGAGAAATGCCCAGCATGTTCTTCCTTTTTGGTTTTCTTTCCCCAGGTTGCACATTTCATTATAATACTTTGTCTTCTTGAGTCGCCCTTTGAAATCTTCTGTTCAGCTCTCTGACGTCATCATTTCTTCCTTTTGCTTTAGCTACTTAACATTCAAGAGCAACTTTCACAGTCTCTTCTGACATCCATTTTAGTCTTTTCTTTCTTTCCTGTCTTTTTAAGAACCTCTTGCTTTCTTCATGTATGATGTCCTTGATGTCGTTCCACAACTCGTCTGGTCTTCGGTCATTAGTGTTCAATGCATCAAATCTACTCGAGTTGGTCTCTAAATACAGGTGAGATATACTCAAGGTCGTACTTTGGCTCTCACAGACTTGTTATAATTTTCTTCAGCTTCAACTTGAACTGGCAGATGAGCAACTAATGGTCTGTTCCACAGTCGGCCTCTGGCCTCATTCTGACTGATGATATTGAGCTTTTCC